TAAAAGTTATTAAACCCTTTGCCTATGTACTGGGAAAACCTAAGTGAATGCAACTCTACTAGCGGTAGGGTAGAAAATCATGTGTATTCAGAACCCTAAAAATCTTGATGAAATTTTTTTTTAAAGCTTGGGTTACTTCAGTCCATACTTTCACAAATTCAACAAATGTTTAGTAATTTTTATCTATCTGTTATTATTCTAGGTACTGGGGATGTAGTAATGAACAAAACAAAAGTTTCTGCCTTCGTGTAATTTACATTCTAGATGGAGATGGGAGGATTAAAAAAAACTAATAAAAAGATAAATATAAATTATATTACATAATTGTTTTCAGGAATATAGAAAAATAATTATATTAACTATATTAAGGGAGATTAAGACCATGAAATTATGTAAGAAAAACAAGTCTGTTTTGAATGACCACAGAGGATTTTTTGATAATATGACATTTGAACAGAGAAGTAAAGAACGTAAATCATAAAGATCTGTGGTGGGAGAATCCTCCGGTGAGAGGTAGCAGTGAGTGCAAAGACTCTGAGGTGGGAGCAGGCCTGGCTCCTTTGAGGAGCAGCAAAGCTGCCAGTGTGGCTGAAGAGCGGTGAGCTGGGGGAGGAATGCTAGATGAACTCAGTGAGAGAGGAACCTCAGACTACCTAGGGTCTTCTACGCCATGGGAGGGATTGTGGACTTTACTGTGAAGGAGATGGAGAGCCATTCGGGCTATATAAACACAGGAGCAATATGATCTCACTCACATTTCAGTGGGGTCACTTTAGTTGCTGCTGTACAGAAAATTAGTTTTGGGAGAATCCATGATAATCCGAGGGGGAAATAATGGTGGCTTGGACTATGGTTGTAGCAGGGAAAGAAATGAAATGCTTTGAAGCTGGAGCTGGATTTGCTGCTAATGAATTAAACTTGAGGCATGAAGGAAAAGGACAGGCAAAAATGCCTGCAAGTTTTTAATGTGAGCAAACAGGAATGACGTTTGCATTTATTAAGAAGGAAAAGGCTGTAGGTGGAAAAGAGCAAGATGGTAATAATGGGAGGGAAATCAGGAGTTACTGGTTTACTTATTAAAGGAAACAAAGCTTTGTCTAAAATATTAGTTTTTTTAGTTTCTTTGTCTAAAATATTAAGACAAAATAGTTTGTACTGTATAGATAGATGCGTTAGAGAAAAAATAGTTTTAAGTAAATTAGTATAATTAGCAAAACAATATAAACACAGTGTTTTAAAAATACTAAATTTGAGTTCTGGGAAAATAATGATTCTCTATAAGGTAGAGGGCCCACTTGTGTGTAAAGGCCCTGAGGTTAAATGAACTTGGCATTTTCAAGGGACAGCTTAGAGACCAAAGGGGCTGGAGTGGAACGACAGGGTGACAGTAGTAGGGAATGAGTTTAGAGAGACACTGAGTGCCAGATCACACTGTGCCTTCTAGGCTGTTATAAGTTACTTTGGCTTTTACTCCAAATAAGATGAGATGCTGTTAGAAAATTAGTAGTGTATTAATTAATATGATTTGGAGGTTTTCTCTATAAAATCTGAATAAACACTGTTAGGATACTGAGGGTGAAATAAAGATCAAATACATTTTTATAATGAAATATCATATGCAGTATCAAACTTTGAGAGTATTTACTTACCATAGGAATCACTGCAATCATAGGAAGTAAAGCTTGGGGAACATGCACACCCCCATTCCATACACTGCCCATTGCCGCTGCATAAATTGGGACATTTTAACACTAAGAGAATGTCTTCAATTGACGTTCCATACTCTTCTGTGTTATATTTCCCCTCCTCCACAATCCTCTTTTCACATTCATTTTCTAAAAGGGCCACACCTGCTTCTGCCCAGCTAAGATCATCTTTTAACAGAACATCCTTCACACACATATCTATAACACTGTCTATTCTCTTGCCGAGAAAAGCAAGACAGAGCCTTCCTATGCTGGAGTTGGCTAGAGTCTGCTGACAGAGGGTCAAGGTGCTGTACTCGGTGAGGCCAGAGGGTGTGGGCCAAGAGGGGACAAACTCTTGCTGTACATCCTCAGTGTGGTCCTCTGGGAAAAAATAAGTAAGTTCCTCCAGATCCGTTTGGCTGAGACTCGGGAAAGCAAACAAAGGAAGGAACTCATAAAAGTTTTGCCGTTTCCGTCTGTTTTGTCGATTGTACCTCATTTCTTGGCTGGGGCTTTCCTGGCCTTGTGTATATTTCTTAGTGTCCAAATATTTTAGTGCATCTTCTTTCTCATTTCCAGGATGTTTTTGTACATTTAAGCCTAGTTTAGTCAGGTTTATGTGGTTGTTTTCTTGTGGAAAGAAATTTAGATTATATTCTTCTTGAGATGTATGCTTGTTTATCTCTCTGACAAGAGTGCCTGAATTAATATATTCAGAAGTGACATCTAGTTCTGGTATCAAAGAAGGTAAGCTGACATGACTGAGGTCTT